ATGGACATAACATTATGTATGAAAGGGAGGTTATGCTAACTGAATAGGCTCTTGGTCCTCAAATCCAGGAGAGCACGACCAGCTTTAGCCCTGCTTTATCAACGATCTCCCTAACACATTTCAAACTAATCAAGTGTTTATACACTTTACTAGATCAGGGTTCTCAGATTTCCCTTCTGTCACTGAATTTAAGCACAGCTCATTACGTTGCCCAGGGGACAGCAGTCTGGAACGCTCACCTTTTGACCACCAATAAAGTGTAAAAACTTCCATATTTACTCACAGAAATCTCCCAGTGAAAATTATATCAGGACTAATGGCTGCTCTTCCATCTAGTTTTCCAAATGATAAATTAAGAAATTAATTTTACAATTAAACATTACAGTGGCAAGGACATTATTACAATCCGATGCATTACCGGGTTCAGGTGAAGTCTTGGCTCCACACCAGAACCAGTAACAAAACTTCCACCAGTGAAGTTGCATCGTGTCACATTAACAGGGTGACTTCCTAAGAATGCAAGGCTGCCTACAATAATAGTGACCTCTTACTCATCATATGCTCTTCTGTGACTTACTTTGATGTACTTTACTGCTTGTAGGCTTTCAATCCTGAAACATCTGTGTGAAGATCCACTGTCAATTACTGTCATGCTACTTTATGGAGCACCTACACAGTAATTTTCAAAACCAGTAAAAGCTCATAGGAGACGTAATCCTTCACGGGGAGACTGAACGTGGCACTCTTTGACTGACAGATGCAGAGGAGGAAAGAAGGATGCATCAGTCAGGTTTTTGAAGTGGTCTGTGAATTCTTACAACTAGAAGCTCTGCAAGAAAACACAGGGATGAAAACAAGCTGATGTTGAGTCTCATATTATTTTAGCAGAATAGACATCAAGATGCAAGATCTTGGATTGTTTCTAGTGAGTAATTTGAGATTCTGCAACTTGATCTACTGTGAAATTTCTCGAGCAGAGAAATCCAGGAGAGAACTTAATAAGAGACTACAGAATGCTGTTTAAGCTACAACAAACTGTTAAGATTTTATCTTTCTAAAAGCTGAGAAATAATAGTGTAAATTAATTATTTGCTGCAACAGCATGAAATTATAGCTTTCCATAGCACAGAATCTTGAATTATGCTACAAGGCCAGACCATTTCATTGTGTGATTGATATCCTGCTGGAAAAAATCCAAACAGCATTTCTCTCAGCAAAACCATTATGTTGATTGAATCGGAGCCAATATGTACACTCCCGAGCTATCTTGCTTTAACCTTATTTGTAACTTAGTTAGGACAGAACTGCATTTACAACGCTACAGATAAGCTACAGCAAGGGCCTCATCTTAAAGCTGCTATTTTAGGGTTTGTAAGTCCACTTAAAACTGGCTGTCTCCAAATGAAATGTTGCTCTGATTCAGAAGACAGGATAAACCTTTTCACAGAAAATCTGGTGGAGGAAAAATATAGCTATCTTTGGCTAGGAGAAAAAGAATAATGGCTTTAGATATTTATTAGTATTTTCTAAAATTGCTAAACTAGAATTCCAGTAAGTACTCAGTTTGATTACTCTGGCCGAGGCATCTGAAAAACTACTATACTTCAGCATTTACTACTATATTACCATTTCTGTACCAAATACAAATTTAAGATTTCTTTAGCCCTTCACCATGGGTGCAGACATGCAATCCTGAAGGACAGCTCTAATTGAGTTAGCATTGGAACCCCTGTTAAATTGCAATTTGTTACTGTTCAACAGAAATCTTGTCAATGATCTGTTCCAGCAGAACCAAGCCATAGATGCTTTCATACTCTATTAATATAAATGCTATCAATGCCTGTCTTTATACGACAGGCCATTTTATGTCACAACAAGCAAATAAATGCTAAAACAAATACAAAGTTGCAAATGAACACTCAGGAAATTACATCAACACACCTTGCTGGTAGTGACATGCTATTTCAGAAAAGCTATTAGAGAAAGTACTAACATGACAGCTTGTGGCTCTTCAACTGCATCAGAGTCCCAAGCTAATCCAAAATCAATCATTTACATTACAGTAAAATGCTGTCCCTTCATCTAAACACTAACGAGCTTCTAGTGGCTTACACAATTTTCAGACTTCTGACTCTCACAAGACATCTCCCCATGGCAAGGTCAGCTGGAGAGATTAACATCTAATCCATTAATCCACTAGATTCATACCAATCTGTCGTGCAGGTCCTTATAGAAAAAGCCGGGCACAGAGTTCTACATCCTGAAGATAACGTGCAGATTTCTTCTGTGAAGCCCATGCTCTCCTACTTAATAGAAACAGTTTGATGTTCTGCATATTTTATGAAGTCCAGACTTCTCTTAAGTGTGTGCAGTAAAATTAGTATCAAATAAACACACAGAAAAGAACAATGCATGAACCACTAAAATTATTTTCTGCCTTTAAAAAAAACCAAATCAAACCCACAGAACCAAAAGCTTTACATACTTTAGAATATGGAAATAACCTATAAATAGCATTAAGAAAACATTCTAGTAAGTCATGGCAGTGCCCTTGCTAGGAGTTTTTATTGTCTTTCATGAGAGCTGCCTTAGGTGTCTTTGTTTTATTTACCTATTAGAATAAATAGGAAAATAAACTGTTAAATAAATCCAGCATTAAAAATTAACAGCTTTTACTGTATGGCCCATGACAATTGTTAGACTGCAGAAAGTCAAGCACTCTTAACAGATATTCTTTAGCTAATATAATGATAACCCATTTTGTATACTACACATTCATAAATGTTTGGCACTTGAATTACACTTACTTGCTCTGAAGAAATATAAATTTATTATTAAGATCAGAAGCAAAATAAATATATTAGAATACTTACATGCCAGAATGTGCCTTAGTGAGCTTTTTACCAGTGAAATTTTACAGTCCGTAATGAACTTCTTAATATTCTGTAATTTTTAAACGATAACAATATATTTCTTAAAGTGATACAACTATTTTAACAGGAAAAAAGGTCTTATCTCTTTCTGCTTTCTCCTTTTCACCATTAATCACAGAATTGTTGAATTTGGAAGGAACCTCTGGAAATTGTCTAGCCCAACTCCCTTGTTCAAAACAGGGCCAACTACAACAAGTTGCTCAGGGCTGCGGGCAGTCAGGTTTGCGTATCTCCAAAGATGGAGATTCCACATCTCGGGGCAACCTGTTCCAGCATTTTACCACTCTCACTTTAAAAATTTCTGTCACATGTTTAAATGGAATTCCCTGTATTTTAACTTGTGCCCATTGCCTCTACTCCTGACACTGGGCACTACTGAGAAGGGTCTGCTCCATCTTTCTCTCTCTACCTATCAAGTATTCACAGACATTGGTAAGATCTCTCCTGAGCTTTCTCTCCTCCACACTGAACTCTCAGCTCTCTCAGCTTCACATCACCTGTCAGGTGCTCAATCTCTTAATCATCTTTGTGGCCCTTCACTGAGCTTGCTCCAGTATGTCCGTGTCAGTCTTACTGAGATGCCCAGGACTGGGCATAGCACTCCAGACGTGGTCTCAACCAGTGCCGAGGAGTGCTGAGAAGGATGGCTTCCCTCAACATGCTGGCCAAAGCTCTTTCTCATGCAGCCCAGGAGGCTGCTGGCCAGCTTTGTGGCATTCATCAGCTTTCTAGGTGACTGGGGTGAGATCCTCCTCTACCACGGTTGTTTCCCTTGCTCCAGATTTTCCCACTGGACTCTGGGACCTGTGATTGCTGAGATCAATCAGCAGATTGCCAGAAAGTAAAAAAAAAAAAAAAAAAAAAAAAAAAAAAAAAGTGAAGAAAGCATCATCAAGTACCTTCGCCTTTTCTGTGTCCATTGTCATCAAGTTCCTGCCCCATCTGGCAGTGGACCCACATTTGTACTAAGTTCCCTTTTGCTGATGATACACCTACAGAAGCCTTTCTTGTTGCCCTTCTAGTCTCAACTCCAGATAGGCTTTCCCTTTCCTCATCCCATCCCTACACACTTAGACAGTGTTTCTATATTCCACCAGTCACTTGTTCCTGCTGCCTCCTCTTGTACGCTTCACTTTTAATTTTAGTCAGGGGTTCCTTGTTCATCCATGCAGGCTTTCTGCCACTCCTGCTTGACTTTCAGCTCATTGGAATAGACCATCCTTCAGCTAGCTGGAAGCAATCCTTGAAAACCACCAGCTGTCCTGGAACCCTCTTCTCCCCATGACCATATTCCATGGGATTTTTCCAAGCAAATTCCTGAATAGGACAAAATCTGCTCTCCTGAAGTTCAGGGTTGTGATCCTGCTATTTGTTCCCTCCTCTCAGGATCCTGATCTTCACCATCCCATGGTCACTGCAGGCAAAGCCACCCTCAACCTTCATGTTCCTGACCAGTCCTCCTTTGTTTGTGCATATCAGGTCCAGCAAAGAGCCTTCCCCCTTGTCAGCTTCTCTATCAGCTGTGTCAGGAAGTTGCCAATGCTCTCCAGAAACTCCCTTGACTGCTTGCATTCCGCTGTGTTGCCCACCACCATTTCAAGGGTGGTTCAAGTCTCCCTATGAGACCAGAAGCCATAAGGTTTCTTCCAGCTGCCTGAAGAACATCACACACTTCTTGCTCAAGTGGTCTGCAGCAGATGCCCACCACAACATTGCCCAACTTGGTCTCCCTTTTTAATCTTAACTCATTAGGTCTCAGCTGGCTAATCAGCGGTCCTCACGCAAAACTTCATGCATTCCTCCTGCTCTCTCCCCTCCTCATGGTCCCAGCCCGTGCTTCCTAAAGAGGCTGTATCCATCCATTGCAGCACTCCAGTGATGTAAGATATCCCTCTAAATCTCCGTGATCCCAATGACATCATAGCCCTGCAACTGCATGCAGGTCTTGAATTCCTTCCACACTAAGCCAATAATTGTTTTAAAGTCTGTTATAATTAGCATCTTTAAAATAACCCAGCAATACTGTTGCTCAAAAGAATAATCACATACACAATTTCTTCAACAATGAAAGGAGGAAAGAAAGAAACAATCCTGTGTGTTTTATTGGTATCAAGGAACAGTCCCATTACAATTGGCTAAATAAGACTTTTTTTCTTTTTCTTTTTTTAAACCAAAATGCAACATATAAGAAAATCATATTAAAAAAAACCTGATTGGTCAGTTGGCTGTAAAAACAAAACCTGTTCACAAAAATTAAAAACAAGGCAGGTTGCTTCGGACATGTAACTAGATATAACTTCATATTTATGGCCCAGTTCACTCAAGATCATAAGAATAGTTTTGTTTAATGTGCTATAACTGCTTTCTGCACAAGGACCTGATACAAGGGTTGTTCTTGGGCTTATAAATTACCATAGGCAAAGATGCATGTGACTGACAAGATACAGGTCTCTTAGTCTTCTTCATGGTAAGAACACTGTCTTCCTTTGGAGGAGGTACGTGTATAGGTTTCCAAGGAATGGGGTTACAATATGCTGGAGCTGGATACAAATTTCCACCAGCAGACCCTGAAACATTTAGAAAATACACATAACTAAAAAGGAATATTTACACTACAAGCTTTACAGTTATAATAATCATCTGAACTAACAAAGACACAACAGCGTTTTCATAGCTACATCACATAATTTAAATGATTCAAACTAATAAATCTTCCGCATCACATAAATTATTAAAAGTGATAAATGTTCCTTCCTGTTGGTTTTTTTTTTTTTTACCAATAATGGGCATATTCTTAATATCTATTTAAAATAATAATCAGGTCAAATGCTATGTAATGCAGAATGCTCAGTCCTTTGTGTACTTAAAAGCTGTAAATGTCAATGAATCGTCTACTTGGCATTATTTCAAGGCATTTATAAATAAAACCTCCTGTCACCACATATTCAAAACCCACATATTTTTCCATCTTTGCTTAACTGTTATTCTTCATTTTATTGAGGAGAAAAATACACTAATTATCCACATATTAATAACCTGCAATTAATAACCTGGGGCCCATAACGCAACAGAAAAAAAACACTGCCCTATCAGTCATTTGTCTGTAGTGAAATTTCAGTGCAAACATCATGTGATTGAGTAAAACAAAGTGTGTAATATATTCTGTTGCATGAACACAAGTGAATAGAGAAATATTTTTCAAAAATCACTTAAACAAGTGATTGCAGCTGTGGGGAAGTAATGAAGGTCCAAAACAAAACATGGAGGCAAAGTCTGTAAACAGATGTAAGCAAAAGTGCAAAGGTTGTTTGCCTGCTTTATACATTTCCTTAAACATTCAGAGCTTGGAATTTAGGTCCTGAAATATTTTCTGTTGCACATTCAAATAATAACAATTATTTTAATTCTATGAAAAAATAAAAGCAAAAGTGTATATATGTATATATATTTTCAAGAAAATTTAATTAAGCACTCAAATGTAAAATCCAATACTTTTTCTTACTGCTCTTCTGCTTTTGTATTATGTGGGATGACAAAGAATACAAAAATAAAGTGAGACTTGCAAAACACCACACTACCAACAGCATTCTCTTTAACACTTCCTTTTGAAACAAAAACGGAATAGGATTACAAAAGCCAAGAAGGTGTGACACAGGTGTAAAGCTAAATGAAAAGGAAATCTTAGCTCAGAACACATGTTGATTCCCATGTCTCCTGACTTCTGGCAGCCTCTTATTAATCTTCATATCTCAAAAAACTGCCTCTTTTCTAAAGGGGATTCAGGTGCAATAAGGTGGCACACACCTTCTGTAACAAAATACTAATGTTACAAGGATGCTAACATAACTGATTTGCCTCACAGGAACCAGTCATTTGCTCTAGTGGTTCCTATGCTTGATAAGAAAAATGAGATCAAAATCAGTTGTAATTTGGTATGCCACATTATTCTCTCAAATAATATCATCTTCCTCCCAAATAATATCATTGTCCACCCAAATAATAAAGGGCTGCAAAAAACGCACAGAGTCTCAGAGTAAAAGTGTCTGTTTTATACCATATGAGATATTCACTCCCATGTGCCAAATTTAGATACTGGATGAAAATCTTAAACAGGCTTCATTTTACATTAAAAGATTAGAGGGAAGGAACCATGAACCTAAGTCACCACATATGTGTAGAAGAAGTACAAACCTGCAGACTTCCCACGTGGGAAGCCATAACCATTTAAAGCAGGGCGTGGTTTATTTCTAGCATTCTGTAGCCATTCCTTAAATATCTTCTCTGATCTTGCTTTCTTTTCCTGTAGTTCAGCTTCCCTTTCTTTTTCTTTTTCCTAAAAAAAAAATTTAAAAAATCTAAGATACTTATAGACAAAGCCCTGTACAATATACACAAAATGGTAAGATTCCCAGACTGCTGAATATATTTCAAATAAGTTTTCAAATACAAATACATTACAGTAGAAAAGTTGCATTTTTTTTTTCTTTAAGTCTAAAAAAACACCAAAAACCCCACAACCTTTGCATTAATCCAGTGTTTCTCTGAGAAAAAGCTCTCATTTTTGGAAGACTGTGTGTAGAAGATATTCTACCCGTATTCATACAGCCCTACATCAGCCACCACCGGGTTGCCTCCAAGCCTGGAGCAGAGCCTTGGAGAACCATTAATCAGAAGTAAGAGTAAAAACACTATGTTTAGGCATAGCATCTGGATTTAAACTAAGTTTAATTGATACTGTGAACGTGGCTTATAAGAGCCTACATAATGGAGACGTGACCAAAAGAATGCACATGGATTAAATCTGTCTGATGACTTTCATTTTCTTGGGTTTCAAGGTCCTTGTGCTGTGCATTTTAGAGGTTCAGCAGAGACACAGAATCCCTTTGTTAAGCTGGAAATAAACACCACCAGTACAGACCATTTAAGCATGTTTTAATTATATGGGAAATTTTGAAAGACTGCAAAATTAAGGTCATTAAGGCCTCTAAAAATTTGATCTGATATGGCTTACAGTATTTTAAAGTTAACCCAAAGAAATTATTATATATACTTGTGAAATACTTACAAATGTGTTCTGTACTTTAAGAACAACTGCTGTAATTACTGGGGAAATATAGATAAATTCTTCTCAACACAATCTTCCGCCACACTTAGCTACAAGAATAGTGTAGCACTCCTATTCTACACTAGCACTACATATTCTACTGAAAAATTATACTGTACTGCTAATTAAATTAAAATACAACCAATCAGCTTCACAGATAAGACATCTGGTCACACATTTCATAGTTTTCAGGCATAATCACTGCCAATATATGATATTTCAGAGGAATTCTGGATGATTCCTGGCAAGCGTAGCCTTGTTAGAGCATTTGTTCTAGCGAACTAGAGAACCTCAAAGCCCATACCTCAGGAAGCTTAAAATAAGAAGTCTTCTGAAGATCACTATAAAAATATATAGGTGTCTAATTAACATGAAGTAACATTAAAATTAGAACTCTGGCATCAGATTGGTACAGACAGTATGAAGAAAAATGTTTTTAATTAGAAATACATGCAATAATATTAATATAATAGTGATGTCGGGAGAAAAATGTGCATAATGCCACCTGTTTTCTGCCTGGGTCACCCTGCAGCTACCTAAGAAATAAAGGTAAGACTGTGTGGTTTGTATTTCTCTTTCCCTTATCATGTCATAACTGCAGTGTGCTTGCAAAGACTACTAACAAAAATGCATTAATATGCATCTTGCTTTGCTGACCATATCTCAATGTCTTCAATGCACTGACATTACAGCTTTTGAAAGTTTTTTTCATGTGCAACACTGCCATTTGATAAATTCTAATTAATTTAATCAACCAGTGTATTGAATATAAATTACAGATTAGGTAACCTCATCCAAGCAAATTAGCTGATTAATACCTTCTCTTTCTTCTTCTTTTCTGCCTCTTCAGCTCTCTTCTTCTTTAACCATTCTTTATACTTTACTTCGGCCTTTTCTTGTAACTGCATTTTTTCTAGTTCCCTTGTGGCTTTTTCTGCCATTTCTTTGCTCAGCTTTCGTTCCCTTTCCCTTCTTTCCTACATGAAACAGATTATAAAAACAGAATAGAAACTTTTCAGCATATTTCAATGAGCAATTCTTTTTTTTTATTAAATAATTACAAATTATCATAACCCTGAAAAAATATCATATTGCAAGCTCTTTGAAAACAGAACCTATTCGTCACTATTTTATCCAGATAAAATAGTTTTAAATGTATAAATATTTCAGAAAACATGATAAAACGTTGACTTTCAGCACTCCTTATGCTATTATGTTTACTACTCTGTTTTATTTATTCAGTCATTTTTTAAAACACTACAGATTCTTCTCAGTATTTCCAGGGAAGAAATCTATGTTGCAATGCTTGACAATGCTGCGTTAATTTTACCGCTCAGAGCAAACTACACTTCCACGTAGAAGTCAGGCAAACTGTCCCCTTCTAAGAGCCATTGAGATATATGTAGATTACTCAGCACACTTAAGCATAAGTTGATATGAAAATAAGAAGTTCACATGAGAATCCAGTTCACGTTTTGTGGTGTACTCTGCATTTTTTTATATTCTTTAGCTTATTCGCATATGGACATCTATGAATCAATCTACACCTTTCTCCTCTTCAAACGACGAAAGGGAAAATGAGAAAACACATCCCAGGGTAGACAAAAAGTGGTAACTGAGTTTGAAGTGAAATTGCTAACCTGTATAAGTTGGAAGATACGCTACACAGAGGTGTCATTCACTTCCACATCTTTTTGGTGTATCTAATGGTACACAACAGTGTTTTGGGGACCATTCTCTAAGCCAACAAGCACATATTGATGATGTTTTCTTGATCTGTGTTTTCATTTGAAGACTAACAATAGCTCTCACTTCGCTTCCCTGTAACCTTTATGAAATGTCTGGGATTCTGCTTATTAAGTACTACTTCTGCTTAGCCTGCTTAGCTGTGAAGAACCTGCATACACACATAGAGACAAAAATCTTCACCAGAATAGCCATGCACACGACTTGGAAGAGAGGCAAAGATTTGAGATCAAACAGTTTTCACTGCATAGAAAAGAACTGCTGAATAAAAATGTTGTTTTTCTTTTAAGAAATCTTTTTCTTGTATGCTCCACTGCACAGTCCTCTTGAACAAAGGAGATGTGTAGTATAGCAGGAACTTACACTGACTCAGAATTAATATAGTTGGCAGCATGGATGTTGAAGGCCTAGAACTACAACTGCAAAGTATAATAAATTGGGTCTGTCTTCTTTATGGAAAAAGAAGAGCAAGAACACACTTCCTTTCCCATTTTACCTCTTATAAGCACAAAAAGGCAGAGAGCTAGATCTCTGCCCTACTCCCCCCATAAGTCCATTTCCCATCTTTTTTCCAAATTTATTGCCCTTTTGGAAAATCCAGTTATGCATAAGGAAGAAGACAACATAATCCTGGAGCTGGGGACCAACATAAGTCTTTGAGTCTGGTCTAAACAGTGTATCTGCTCGTTCAATCCTTGTCCCCCATACCAAAATTTACCAGTAATCCAATATAGTAGCATCATACAGAATAAGAACTTTAGCTTATATTGCCTTGGAAAACACTAATTCATTTCTGCCATTTATTGGATGAGATGACAAGGTGCAAAACCAGGGCCAATAAAGAGAAAATGCATTGCTTTCAGGTTAAAACATTTGCCATGTTTTTGGTAAGACATAATACCGGATAATAAATGCTTTCATGTTTGAATCCTTGTCCAGAATACATGAAATTGTCATAATAAAGAAAACATTCTAAGCATGAGCTTACCTCACTCTTGGCATTCAGTTTTTCTGAGCATGTTATAATGCTCAACTCCAGATTTCTTATCAGGACAAGCCATTTCACAAAATTGCTTGAGCTAGTGTGCCCCATTCTGTGCTTGCCAACACTTTCTAGCATTACTACAATTTCAACAAGAGCAAATTATGCATTAGTAGGGTTTTCCTGCCCCCCTTTCACAAGCTATACCTTATCAACTATATTTACCATGATCTCTTGAGGTGGATATTTCTTCACCTAAACCATGATGATACTTTGAGTACCACTGTTTTATTATACTCTTGTCAAATATTCTTAATTTGACGACAAAGAGTTATTTGTGTACTCAAATTTCACAAAACTATTATCTATATTTTCTCTTTGGTTTGGTTTTTATTTTATTTTATTTCACTTCTAATATCTTCTAGTGAGCATCAGCTAAATCTGTTCTGCAGCGTAAGGAAAAATTTCAATGCATGTTCTGGAATGTAAAACTCCACAGAACTACAAAATAATGGAAGTCTTATTAATAGGATTTCCCAAGGTCTGTACATGTGATAAAATTATTATTTACTACAAAAATAAAGAATTTCATTCTGGAAAAAAAAAAAAGTTGAGATTCTGAAACATTTTTGTACTAGTGAGGAATGGAAACAAGATCTTTCTTAAGATGAAACAAACCTTTCCATGCTTAAATATGTTAAAAAGGAGAAATAATCTATTTTTGGCAAATGATGCAGATCCTTTGTATCACCGGCCTGAAAAACAAATATCCAACTGTCTAAGCTTTTCCTCCTTGTTCATCTAAAGTGAATCTTAAACTCTTTTATTCAGACCTGTTCCTCTGCCCCTTCATTACCAAATATTCCCCACATGCATCTCTTGACAACTCCTGTTTCGAGACAATGGCAGTCTGGGACACATAAAAAGCATTAATGTAGATGAGAGATATATGCTAAAACAGTGAGTTAAAAGATTTCAAATCTTTTGTTGTTTGCCGGCTTATCTCTATTGTACATGAAAGTAAGTTACAAAACTAAGGATCATTCAAAGCTACAGTTTTTAGCTAGGGGTATTATCACATAAAAATCATGAAAATAAATACAGGAGAAAACAGAAAAAAGGAGCCCCTTCCATACCTAGGGGAATTGTTCAATAATGGACAACAATTAAAGGCAGAAAATAGACTAAAAATCTCTCTTAAGACTGCAATTAAATGGCAGGGAAGCTTCTTAAATTATATATCTTTAATCACAATACTTCAGACGAGCTTAGCTAATATCTAGGCCGACCCAAATTTAAATTAGGTCCTATGCACACTGCCATGAAAGCCACAACTATTTCTAAGTTTTGCTTCCAGTGAGACATCCTTAAGATGGGGAGAGTCCCTGCAGAATCCCAGACTTTGCAGCTGCCCAGAAATTATTCTGCAGACAAATCGGAAATGCTTCCTCTTTCTCTCACGCACAGAACAGCTTTTCGTTTATAAAGCTGGTGTACACCACATTCCCAGCTGCTTTAATAACCTGTTTCATGTCAAGCTCCTGTCACCCTGGCCTTCCAAGCTTCCCCCCATCCTCATTACTCTCCCTTATACATGTCTATCAAAAATGCTAGGAATGTGCATATTAATGTACATGTTCTTCAATCCTCCTTTCACTCTCCTGCCATATATATATGGGGGGAGGGAAATTATATAATTTGTTTATGCTTGGTGTCGTTAGATTGGGTTTTAAAAATTCTCTTTGATCTTGTGTTCAAAACAGACATGATCTATTCACTAAACCACTAGTAAATTTACATACATTTTAAAATATGATTACGGGTATTACATAAATTAAGGTATTGATTGTAAAATATCCAATTACTCATTGAAAGAAAGGCTTGTTCTCCTGCCACCCCACCCAAGCACATTATTAAGGAGAAAGGATACAAATCTGCCCTGCGGGATCACTGCTCTGGGCTGTGATGCTATCAAGCCTCGGAACCCAACGAAGCCTGGGCTAGGTCAATATTTGGAAATCCCCCACCCAAACCAAATCCAGAGTCCCACAGAGCAGTGATGGTGACTCAGTAGGCAGCATGTGTCTCACTGAGTCAGTGCCCAACCAACATCTCATCAGCAGAACTACTAAATTTTCATTAAAAATCAGACCTATATCTAAGTGGAGAATCGTCAAAGGAATTTGAAATTTGAAGAAGCATCCCATTTTCTTCCTGACAGAAGGTAGAAACATTAAATAATCTTTCCAAGCAGAAAACGGCCCAATTGCCATTGAAACAGAGACACTATATCCAACTGGAAGAAAATCAATAAAACATATATTTCCAATTTTTCATATCAATTATTAAATGAGAGGCTGGAAAGGGTAAAATGCAGAGCTGCTTTTTGTTCTGCACTTTCTATGTAGAATGTCACCAAATAGAAATATTTCCAGAAATGAATGTTGTGGTTTATATTTTTAAGATGCTTCTCACAGCAAACTTCATCTTCTTGTCTGCAAAATGTGACATCATTTTTTCTTTTCATAGATAACTGATGGTTCTATTTCACAGCTGTCCGCTCTGACATCTTAGCTACCATATTCTAACATCATTTTATGTGGACTGATGGTGAAATATAGAAAAAGTCCACACTTCCAACATCAGAACATACAGCCAAATTTCTTCATTTATCCTCATAATAATCCTGAACGTCAATCACATTTAACAGCCTCAGAAATCTGGGTTGTTCAGCCAACTGTTACTATCTTTTCAAGTAGCCCTATTACACAGCTCCGTCACTGAGCCTTGCCCACAGAAATACTTCTTTAATCTCTCCAGAATTGGCATGTGAAAAGAATGAGAGGCTAGAAAGCAGGTCAGTGAAACAACACTGAAATGCAGTTGTTTACTGACAGGCAGATTTACAATGATTTACTGCGTGACTTCACACAAAGTCAATGCAGACCCCAATGCAGTCTAGTAACTGAAGAATTGTAAGATGGTTGCATACATGGATCTTTCTCCCAAACTGTGTTCCTTTCATGTGGGTACTCAATATATGTGACAAAGCAGAAAGTCTTCGTGTGCTTGGTCCCTGAACACTCTTGGGGTCTTCAGAATAATGCAGACTTCACAAATGCTGCTGAAATGCATGAGCACTTATTTCAATCATCTGCCACCCCGAATTCCTCCTCCACAAGTCTATCTAAAACTCATTCTAACACTAACCATGAGAAATTAGTTCATTCTACTTACACAAATCTAAAGGTAAGCCTGGACACAATTAAGATTCAGGTACAACCAAAAATTATATCCATGGCACTGTCCATGCACGATCTCACAGAAAAGTTTTGTGTAAAGATATGGCAATACTGTGTTGTAGATATAAAAAGACCAACTTGGACACCTAAACAGAAAATTTAAATGCTTAAATGTCGATGGTTCCCAAGTTTGGAAGGTGTTTGTGCTATGTATTTAAGCTTCCCTCACAAATACATTTCTTGAAAGTGTTTGGTCTTGAAAAAGGTGAACATTTCAGTGTCTCTTTCAAGTTTAAACTGTCAGCAAAAACCATAGCACATCAGGCTCTATATTGAACATAGCAGCAACCACAGCTTTGACTCAGAACAATAGTTCAGCTGTTAGAACATTAACCTAGGACAGGGAAGATCTGGATTTCATTACCTCTCTGCCTGAGGGGATTCAATCTAACGTCCCACTGTGGGGAGAAGACTTCATCTACCAAGCTGCAGGCTGGGATGACGGGATTCTCCACCCCTTCTGTTGAAGTGGTACCACTCCTCATAAAATAATTAACAATTCATTGGATGAAAGAAAGAAAGCGTGAGTGAGCGTGACTTTTTAACTTGAAAGTTGTGCTCAAGCTGCCAAACAATCTGTGTTCTATATTAGCAATGGTGAGGTAAAGTATGCGTTAAGCATCAAGTCTTTGGAGTAAGAGCTGGAACCTAAGTCTTTCTTCTGGGAGGAATCCCACAGCACACCAAGAAAGGGAAGTCTGTTCCAAGGATGTTATCATTCATTATTTTATAGCGTGTTGGTTCTAGGCTTTTATATTTCTTACTGCTTTTTCCTTCCTGTGAAGGCTATCAGCCAATAGCAAAGTAAGGAAGGACAAACTTTTAAATGAAAAAGCATCAAAATAGAATTTTTCCATCCTGTACCTGTTTTACATTAAAATTATATTTTTCAGTAAGTAATGGGGACTTACTGAAAGAAAAAATAAATAATAAAAAAAAAGCTGAACAAAGTTCTCTGATTAACACCTGCTTTGCTCACATTTACTTTTAAGAAAAATAGTGATGCCTTATTCTCTATTCAACAATGCAGCAAGTATTTGAAACACTACAGTCAAATTAACATTGGTATTAGAATAAATAGTTTTTCCAAAGAAAAACATGCTCTTACAACTTCGCTAGATATCACATTAATATAGCATAAAGTATTATATGCAAGTTAAAGACAAGGATGTTAACAGCATGAGTTTCAGAATTACAGTTATTTTGGGATGCAAGAATTCTGCTTTTGAGATTTCAGTTCTTGTTGCAAATATATGCATTACATATATGTACTGCTTTTTGGCTGGGATGGAGTTAATATTTTTCATAGCAGCTCCTGTGGTCTACATTTTGCATTTGTGACCAAAACAGTGTTGATAACACAACAGCGGTTTAGTTATTGCTGAGTGGTGCTTACACAGCTTCAAGGCCTTTTCTGCTTCTCTCTCTGCCCTGACAGCGAGTGGGTCAGGGAGGCACAACAAGCTGAAAGGGGACACGGCTGGGACAGTTGATCCCAGCTGACCAAAGGGACATCCCGTGCCATATGATGCAGTGCTCAGCAATAAAAGCTGGACATTAGGAGTTATGGAGTCTGTCTTCCCAAGTAACTGTTATGGGTAATGAAGCTTTGCTTTCCTGGAAAAGGCTAAACACCTGCACGCTGACAGGAAGTAGTGAATGAACTCCTTATCTTGTTTTGCTTGTGTGCACAGCTTTTGCTTTACCTATTAAACTTCCTTCCCTCAGCTCAAAAGTTTCTTCACTTTTACCCTTCCAATTCTCTTCCTCATCCCACTGTGGGGGAGTGAGTAAGTGGCTGCACAGGGTTTAGCTGACTACCAGGGCTAACCCACAACAACATATAATATAAATGTTTATGTGGACAAAAGAAAAAATCACGTTGGGTTCAATTAATTTTCTTTTGGAACCAAAAGCATGTTTGGAGATATTTTAGAGTTAAAATATTTTGACTGATATTTCTGTGACTTGTTAAAAATAGAGCTCTATTATACCTAAACCAAAACAAGTAAAATAGACAAGTTACTGTTTGCCCACAAATGACTCAACCTTAGAAGAGAGAGAAAGTAAGATGAATTTTGTGCAGCAGAGATCTCGTATCTTACCGAAAACTATAAAGGCATTAGTAGAACCAGGATAGCAACTGACAGTTGATTTTATTAAGCTCTTAATCCTAGGGAACTGCAAAATTTTGCCAATTTGCATAAACATATTTCACAGCTTAGAATGTTCTTTGATAGCTCATATTTCAATATATTACTTCTAGTTCATTTACAACCTTTTAAATCACAAAAGCTATTTGCATAGAAGAATATTAAATGGTCATGATTCCTTTATTTTCAAAAATAGTTTATGCAAAGTGATTGGAAGCATAAAAAAAACTTCACAGCGTATAGTTTTAAATATATATTAAACAATAAAAAAAGAAACTGTCAGTGAACAAAAATAGTGCTTAAACTTTGCTTCCTAACCTGGCCATTAAGGACTTTATTTAACAGCCAGAGCATCACAACTAACATTGCTACACAACAAAATGCAAGAAAACTGGCTTGGCATGTAAAAAGGCAGCAGAATTCTTTTATGCATATACATTCTACTTCTGACATAAACATGCCTCACATCCACAGTATGAAGACTTTTCCAGCAGTGTCTCCTGGTGCTGGATACCCAAGATGAAAGAAAAAGTTTCATGTATGCTCAACCATCCCTCACCTCCTTTGTCAGCGCAGTATTGAGCAATGGGAAAGGATACAAACTTGTGGAAATTCTAGAGTAACATTCCCAAAAGTACTGCCTTCTGTCAAGTAAAGCATTTTCTGCAGTCTACACTCAGAATCAGTAACTAGACGTGAAAAATGTGAGTGCTTAATGCATATATCAGCGAAGAGTGCTGCGAATTTAAGGAAATGAAGTGAGTTTTCCCAAATATGAGATGTCTATGTGCTCCCCAAGAAACTCGTATCACCTGTGAGTGCTCACAAATCCAACCCTAAAGTTCATCCAACCCTAATCTTCATGCAATTTTCATCACCTTCTTACTTAGTCACTGAATTGACATATTTATACTTCAGTCTGTGTCCAGATCCACAGATAATCTCATAGAAACTTGAAGTAGCAATTTCTATGCAGCACAAATGTTAATATCCTGAAGACAGCTAAGCTTTTAAGATCAGTTTGTTCCTGATTTGAGTGTGGTTTACAGAAAAGACTAGCCAATGAATCATCTGTTTTAAAGGAAAATCAGACTGCTTTTGGTAAAAGCTTGGGACATGGCCTAAGGATGACCTTATCCTTCCAAAATATAATATGATAAAGTCCAGACACAAGTATGTTTTTTCCCCTGTCCTCTGGGCTGATGTGATTATCATAAAAAAAACCTTCTATTGTCAATAGGAACAGGAGAAGTAGTTAATCAGTAAATTCACAAAATCTTTGGAAGACCCAAATAGGTAGAAGTTTACAGAAGCTGGGGGGCGCGGAGAAAGGGGGAGGAGAAAGAATGAGAACTTTCACTGTTTTGAACTGTGAACAATTTTAACAGGCAGCCCAAACTCCTTCAAGCCAATGAATACAGACACCTATAATTTAAATTGCATTTTAGAAGAGGAAAATGGCATTGTTTTTGCTGAACAATGAATACTTTTTGCTGTGTACTTTAACGAGGGAGGACGTTTTCTACATCATAACAAACATTTAGAGCAGGATTGGTTTTGAGATGGGTTTATGCCAATCATCCAGTCAGCATTGAGACTAATAGTCATTAGGTTAGATCCAAACACAGGTTATTCTAGTGGTTCTAGACTGAATCTGAAAAAGAGTTCTGAAATGGTAGAGACAAATATATGAGGTCTGGGTATCTAGCGCAGCTAGTGTCACTGAGACGTTTTTAATCAGTTTTCAACTGATTTTTGTCAGAACCAGAAGTACAGAACAGTAAGCAACTACACACTGTAAGACAATGAACGCATATCCCCACAAACTACCAGGGCCAGAACAAGCCCAAGCATTCCAAACATTCCCATTTTTACCAGCCAGCACACACACTTGCTTTGTGTGACACAGAGCTGTACCCGTCGAGATCAGGATTCTGTCTGCTTCTGACTGTCGACTTAGGCATCCCTCTTGAGAACTTAAAAATTTTTTTGATCCCACTCAGAAATTACTTTTTGGATGAAGGAATTCCCAATCGCTAACTGTGGTCTTCTGAGAATTTCCTGAATCTGGCCTCACACCACAATTATCCCCCTAAATTCTACCATACTATTTGCCTGTCCACAATGGTACTTAACTAAATCCTTCTTCTGGCTCTACTTCATGTACAAGACATTGCAGACAGTTAAGATGTACACTTTACCCAAAAAGCTTGGGCATTGAACCTAGGAAGTCAAAAAGAGTAGGGTATACTGAAGACCAGAACCCCAGCTATAATTAGCAGAAGGCTACTGCACAAGATGTAGGCCAATTGTCAGTTGTCTGACTACTCAGAAAGCTACTTTCTTTATACCTTATGGAAAAAAAAATAAATCAGACCTGGAAAAACATTTAACTGTGTTGGTGTGGTTTTATAATTTTCAATTAAAACAGCCATTCATTCAGCAAACTAAAAACATGGTTGTCCAAACAGTCTAAGTAAATTTTACATAGGTTTACTTAAGCACAGTATGTGCTAAATATTTGCAGCCAAAGCAATATTTACCTCTTCTCTTTTTTTTTGGACCCATTCCTTGTGCTTCTCTTCAGCTATCCTTTTCCTTCTTTCACATTCTTGCTTCTGCTTCATCTTCTCAAGCTGTATATTTATTTCCTAATTAAAGAAAAAGTATACATCTTAAATCTGTGGTGACCATATACACTGGTACACTCAATACTGGAAATAGACCTGCAGCTAAAACAATGTAAGCATCAGATTTTGAAATTTTTGAGATTTTCAAAAAGATGGATGCCAGTCAACACAGAAATGTTATGAAATATAATCAATGGAAATGTAGAATTTTTAGCATATGAATTGGAAAGATGTATTTTAATTAGGCTTTGGAAAAAATCCAACATAGCAAATCACTCCTCGGCTTATTTAAATGCCCTTTCAGTCAGCAGAACCTTAATTTGCAGCAGTACTTTTCTACAATACTTAAAATTTACATGGTGTACTGCTTTGCATTCAGGAAGGCATTACCCGCTTATGATATTTAGTACCATAACTATAGGAACCTTAGGGCTTAACCCAAAGCTTATTAAAGCCAAAATTATTGGAGATTTTAGCAAACTTTGAAACAGGAGCTTTATTTTGAAGATGAGAGAAGAAATTCTGTAGTATTTTATCTTTATAGGACATACAGTATATATCCAATCACTTATATCTCTCCAAGGAAATAAATCAATAAAGAAAAAAATATGACTAAGATAACAATTACAGATGTTTAGCTTCTCTAATGGTAGTATTAGCAAGAAGTGCTATTTTTCAATGAAAATTCATGCCTTCAAACATAGACGGAATTATTTACATGACACTGATTTTATGGTCCCTACACTGCAGGAAGTATCAGAGAGAACCCTCTCTTCTTATGACATTGAATTTGAATTTAGTAAGACATCATGAAAAAATAGGAGCCTACAGAGAGCTCAAAGAAAACACAAGACAGACATAGTTTGAAAATATAATTGTTGCTGCATTGAGGCAAAGTTACAGCAACTAACACCTCCTTTGAGTTCTGAGACATCTGTATTGCAAGGATCCTGGTTTCCCTAAAAGGTGATGGCACTATAAGTACGATAGGAGACTCCATTCACTATCCACTCCAAATAGTGACCCACATTTCCACATTCAGGGCAGACTCAGTGCTGCTGTCAGCAAAAGATCTGGGACTTCATAGCTGTTTCTTAGGATATCAGTTTAGAATACTTTTTATATGCAAATGTAGTAATACATTTTTATATCACACACAATCGCATACTTTGTTCTCTTCTGGCATCTTACAAAAAGGTTGAATGTGTTTTTTCCCCTGATACAAGCAGTAGCTTGAGTTGCCTACATTGCAGTTTAACATTTAATGTTTTCAAAACCTTAAAAATAAAACATTTACCTATTCCACTGATTTCCACAGGACTTTAAGTAAATGCTTGCCCTACAACTGCTCCTAATATATATTTAAGAAAGACGTCTTTTAGATTACATTTAGTGCTGTATAAATGCTATTGTGTGATGCACAATAAATTGCTTTGGTTCCTCATCAAAACCACATGAGAAGTCCAGACACAAACCACAGTTTCTACATGACACCAGAAATTACTTTGGCTCATTTTTTGTACTTAAAAATCAAAACAGGGAGAGATGATTACCAAACTGTAATCTAAAGAGGAAGTCATGAAATGCGTGGTGAATATTAATGGATCAGAACATATTCCTCACGTTTAACAAACTATTTGGGTGTTATGCTGACCTCTAAAAGACTGTTCCAGAACCTTCCAGCGGTGGGTGTTTTATAAACAGCATGAGGTAGCCCACATAAAACAGCTGCATGTTATATTCACTTTACAGATAAAGTGAATCTCAGAAAGGTTAGGACATTGCTCAAGGTCAAACAGTAAATCAGTAACTAAAGTGAGAAATGATCTGACTTTGATGTCATTGTTTTAGCCACTACCCAATACTTTCAATTTGATTTTAAACACCAGGATCATTTAATCAACTGCAACTACGAACATATTAATCAAGGAAAGATATAGTGCTCTCAATTAATTTTGCCCAAGCATTCAAGAACTGTTCATTTGTAAAGGGGCAAAAGACAGAAGGAGGGAAAAAAAATGCTGGGACAGGGAAACCTATCCTGGGAAAGGACAGCAAACAGCTGTATAATTACACACTAAGTGGGTAACAACACTGTCCCTCATATCTAACCAAGTAGCTTGGCATACTTACACTCAGCACACGCCCTGTCGTGTTTTACTACCTACATGCAGGCATATGTGCCCATGATGAAAATCAAGGTACCAATTATATGAATATGTTTTAATCCTTTAAACTTAAACCATTACCTGACAGTTGGATAAGCAGGAGTTGGATACCACTTCAATTAAACATGACATTTAGCAAAAGCGAATGCACGTAGCATGTATCACGTCAGCACTGTCAAACACAAACACTATGGAGGCCCAAAACACTAAAAAATAATGGACAAAACTGCTTGTGATTCTGCAACCAAAAATAATAAAAAATACTATATTTTGGTGCTTGCTATCTTCTATTAGTCATAACTTCAAGCAAATGGGATGTATGCACCTCTGCAGCTCTAGCTTGTAAGCGAGCACGTAGTTCCTTCTCTTTGCCAATGAACCATTCTTCCCATGGTGAAAGATTATCTTTCAAAGGTGACTCTTTTTTTCTGCCTGTTATTTCAGGGTCTTCAACCTTCCTGGATTAAAAACAAGAAATGCAAAAGATATTACCTGTCATGTATTTTACTGAAAAATTAAGCAGTGCTACTGCCTTGAAAAATGACATTTACATATACTGTGACAACAATGACATTATGATCCAATAATCTCTGGAATGGATAAATGGCAATTATAGTGCAACTCTGAACATCCCCCCTATGTTCTACTTATTAAATTACAGATTGTCAGTGTTCCCCCATCCCTGTGGAACAGATTCAAGCATTACTTTTCATGAACTAAACAAAAAATAGCACCAGAAATATCAAGGTGTCACCTTCCTTCTCATGTATGGAAACCAAGGGAATTCAAAGATTTAACATTAACATCCTGTCTTTGGTCTCAGAGAAGGTCCATATATCAAGAGGCCTTTAGCATGAGCATTTTTTTCTTCTTTCAAGTCCTATAGAACTGGATTCTCATGATATCAAGCAACCTCACCATTAAGAATTCATTCACTCTAATAGGTAAAGTTTTCCACCCTAAAAAGCTTGCACAGGAAAAATACTCAAGAAACATAGCTTGCATACAATATTTGATGATTTTATATAAGGTTGTATTAGACTTTTAATAGGATACCTTGCATAACTCACTCATAACTTCTTTACTCATGAATAATGCAGCAATCCTAGCCCCAGGCCAGAAATATCTCTTATAATATTCTATACATGTACTACCTCGTAAGTAAGACAGTATATTAGGCTCTATGTCAACAAATATTGAAAACATGCCAATAGATTTCTGTAGAAAATTTCTTCTACCCTATACAGATTTTTTTCTCCACAATAAAACAGTGAAACCAGACTTTAGTAGTTAATATGGATGTATGGGCTCTGGAAATACATACTTCACTACAGTAATTCCGTTTGCTGGATCCAAGCTGCAGAAGAGGCATATTATGTTAACATGCATCCAAACAAGCATATTATGTTAATAACCCTGAAATAAATCTAAGCATAAGATATCTGTTTTTTATCAATGTAAAAGTATTACACGTTCGCAGGGAACAGCAATACTCTGTTACAAAACATTTTATGTCCCAGTAATCTTTAGAATGTATTTCTGTGATACGAAGCGTTTGAAGACAGTATCAGCACTAAGGAGTTTGTTGTTACCCACATGTGTGTGCACTAACATGACTCTTTGCTGGTCAAGCCATGACACATCCAGGGGAAGTGATTCACGCTGAAACTAACCTGGAAAAGGGTTGCTTTCTCTATACCAGGCTGCCACAGAGCCGTAGCACAATGGCACTGACAGAACACCCTGACACACGGAGCACACACGGACAGATGCAGCACAGGCCAAGCACTCCCAAGGCCAGCGTTGTCCAACACGTCCTGCTGCACCCTAGGGCTTTTATGCTACAGCGTCAACACAGAGCAAACATTTAAGTGAGACAGTTTTTAAACAGGTACGTATAATAAGGGATGCAACTTAAGAATGCATAACAACACCCTTTATTAGAAACTAACTCTCTGAAAGTTTATTAAAGATAAGGATAAAAGCATTATGCATTCAAATTGAGGAAACCAACGCAACTTTGTCCAGACTTGACATTTTGGGCTGGGATACTTCCTCAATACATTCTTTTGCTATGCATGATTTGCATTATGGCTCTCCGTACTAGAATAACACTGCCATGTTAGAGCAACCTGAGAAAAAGTACTCGTAGAAGGAACAAATTAAGAAAAATAACATTTACTACATGCTTTTTTGGACCAGTAATTATAAAGTCCCAGCTGTTAGTTTCTCAAAAAAAAAAAATTCATAGTAAGAAATTAAAGACTTATTGTATACAAGTTAAGAATAACAGAAAATGAAGTTTAAACAGTGGAAAACACAAGCTGAATAGGAAGAACTGTTAGGAGAAACGTTCCTCCTCATCTGCAGTACTGTGTCCAAAGCTCTCAGACAGCACCGGAGCTCGGACAGGAACCCAGTCCTCTTGAGCGTGCATCCCAGCCACCGGCCACATGCTCCCTGGCACCCCGATTATGTATTTTGAGCCACACAGACCTTGAATTTCACGGGACCATTTTCTGAAATGCTAGCATGTTCACAGCTATGACCTTCCTCAGAATAATTAAAACAACAGACGTCTTAAAGGACCACATTCCCAAGAGCACATTTGGTTTTAAGTAAGTATCTTAAATTGAATTAGATACACTTGGCATTAGAACTGAAGTCTGATTAATAGAAAACACTGTGATTATCATTTATCATGTATTCACTTAAGTCACGCCATCAAACATAACACTGATCCATAATGGAAGTATGAAAATGCCTTACACTGTTTCACAAGGCCTTGTTTTCTCTTTTCTACAAAAGTTTTTCTCTTTTGTAAATATTGTATTTCCCACGTTAAGTGTCTGCCTCCGGCTAATTTTTCTGTAGTTTTAAGAGGACAACAACAACAAAAAGACTCTTTGAGAGAGTGTGTGCATAAGTGGCGGGGATAGTGGCTACGTAAGAAGTGTTTTTTATTATTATACCTTTGAGATCTTGGCAGTTATACACGGAAGCTGCTATATGAACATTTGGTAGACACTTATTACAACACAGCAGCAGTATTATTCAGATGCAGCGTCTGCATGAGTGAAGCGTATATTATGCCTGTAGAGTTTAATGAGATTGTTCCAACTCGGGCCCTAAGAGAGGTTGTCTTCCATTGCAGCTTACCACTGCTAGGGAATATTGCAGCAAGCAGCCCAAAAATTGGGAGCTGTTTTCACATAGCATCTCCAGATGAAGAGACATGTAGTAGTTTGAACCGAGTGCTACAGAACTTCACGGTAGGTGAAAAAAGTTGCTTATTGGGAAGGAATAAAAGGAGAGGTAACAGAAAACCTGAAACAGGAGGGACCATCAACAGATTAATATCCATTTCACTCTGAAGCTTCTGAGTCAAATATGAATGCTTTCCCTGGACTTTTAGTGCCTATTTCCCAGAAACGCTTGTAAGAAAAGTTCAGTGTGGTCCATATTCCTTCCCTGCTCTCCATGGCAGTTTGAGCCCCAAAGTGGAACCCTGCACCCCTGTGAAGCTCAGCTGTCCTTCCCTTACCCCCCTGCTGCTTTGAGCTCCACTGTCTTGCTAGTTACATCCACCATCAGCTACTGCACAGATCTGCAAGGCTTCCACAGCAAAGGGAGTATTCCAGGAGGAGAGAGGCACTCCCTGCTCTTCCCCCTTCTATTTTAAAGGGAGGAAGAAAGATTATTTATTCTCCTGTCAAGCAGAGGAGATCCTGAGGGAAAGAAGACCTATTAAGTTTGCATATAATTAAAAGGGAATGAAATTAAGCCACGGGAACAAGAACTGTGCAATGCATACAGATGAAACTGACGCTGGATATATACATGATATACACTAGGCTATACACACTAGGCAAAACAGCCCTTTAGCTTTCAAAAACGTCTAAAAGGAGCAGGAATGGCTGTACATTTTCAACTTGCAAATACCCCGAGGCTCTGGTCAGCAGCTGATAGATATTTTGCCAACCCATGAAAATACTCAACTGCCCATCGAAAAGACTGCCGTAACCGGCGACTTCCCAAGAGATCATAACAAAGGGAACGAGGTGCCTAAAGCGCTTATTTACGCAAACCGTGAATCTTCCGTCCCGAGCAGAGGCCTCAGGCGGCGGGAGGGGAGTAGGGGCGCCCGACTCCTCACGCCAGGGGCGGCCCCGAGCTCCCTGCTCGAACCCGGGCCCAGACCCACCTATGGCCTCGCCGGCTCTGGGACCGCACCGCCCGCTCCTCCTCCTCCTCCTCCTCCTCCTCCTCCTCCTCCTCCTCCTCCTCCTCGCTCGGGGAAAGCGGGGAGCAGCCGGAGGGGCTGAGGGGCTCCTCGCCCTCCGAGCTGCCGGAGGACAGCGGGATGAGGCGGGCGACCCTCCTCCTCCTGTCGCGCGTGCGGGCGCCGCCGCTCATGGCAGCGGAGGGAGAGAGTGGCGGTTGGCGACGGTTAACGGCCGCCGCACGCCCCGGCTCGCGCTCCCGGCGGCCCCCGCGGCTTCCCCCCGCGGCTGCCGTTGCTATGGCAACCGGGGCACCGCGCCTGCGCCGCACCGCCCCGCCTGAGGGAGGAACCGGGCCGCTCCCCCAGCCATGGCGGCGGGCGCCTTCAGACCCGGGCAGCCGGAATGTAGCGGGTGGGACCCCGGCTTGGTGGTGGTGGGTGCAGTCTGCCCGTGAGGGAGAAGCAGGGACACCGGCTCAGGGAGGGCAGCAGGCCCTGCAAGCCGCCTGCCTGGCCCTGCCCACCTTCGCCGCCTTCACCAACGCGCTGGTGGCCTAATTTATGTGAACTCTTCACGGCCGTGCTTTCTGCTGAATAACATTTTTGCACATTTACCAGTTCAGTAAACGGGAGCCAGCGCTCTCATCCACAGATGATGATGCCAATATTTCAGCTTAGGCATTTTCTAACAGCCAAGTCGGCATTTGTAATCTATCCCTACATTAAACTGCAGTGTCCCGTTTCAGTCCACAAAATTACAATTTGGTTTCTGATTTAAAGCTCTACCGACTTTCGCTTTTTCACAGAATCACAGAATTATCTAGGCTGGAAGAGACCCTCGGGGTCATCGAGTCCAGCCATTTTTCATACACCTCTGCTAATTTAATGGTGTCCTTTCCCTTCCTTCCTGTTAGGTAACTCTCCATTGCTTTTTGAACTATTTGTTCTAAATAAAACATTTATTTTTTTATGCACTCCTGTCCTTTTCTGTTTGCTGCTAGATACCCTGTTACTATTCCCCTGTGGTTCCCAATCCCAGGCACTGCCGAGGGGCTGGGCCACCTTTGTTTGTCCTTCTTTTGCCAAGTCCTTAAGCAGGATCAGCCAGAAAATCATATGTATCAACAACTTCATTGCCTTTGAATCCCACCTACCAAGGAGGTAATCACTGACTAGCAGCTGGTGGCTTTTTGTAACTTCATTGAGTCATTTTGCTGTGGCTGACTGAGCAGAAGCGTTACCAATATTAGCATGAAATACAAAAGTTTGAAAGAGATTGTAAATTTGGTTGCTATATTGATGTAATTGTTCTTACTACGAATCTCCAGGCGGGTAAGTTTCACAAGAAATACATTTTTAGTTGGACGGGCAAGTTGAAAAATAAGCAACAGTATTAAAAATGCATTGTTTCAAATGGGAAAACCACCCGAGACATTTGACTTGCCATAAAAATTGGATTTCACTGGCTCAGTGATACAAAAAGGCCATCAAACCTACACAACCATTACAGGTGTACCTAGGCACCACCTAAACCGAGTGTCACGAGGCAGGAGACATTTCCTCGCCATCACTAACAGCCCGAAGGAATGCCCAGGTGGCCACACTTGGGAATTTTAGGATGGGCTGTTGGGCTGTAGATTCTCGGGCGCCCGAGCCCATCATTTCCCTACCAAAAGGGCTGTGTCTCTCCTGTCTCCCAGGAGCATTCCCTTCTCCTTCCCTTCTGCTCACTGGACCTTTTGCTGAGCTGCATGAGTAGAAGACCATCCAACTCTTTGGCCAAGCAAGTTAAAGCTGATGGAAATGTCTGACAAGGGCTGAGGACGGAGTGCCAGGAGAGCACGGCCACAGAGGGGAAGGCAGGGAGAAGCAGAGGTGAGGTGTGAGGGACTTCCCCCTTGCAGTGGTGGAGCTTCTTAATTTGGTTTATCTTCTCATGGAAACTGCAGTTTTGGCAGCTTGGAGAAATATCATTATGGTTCCTGTAAGAAAAAAAAATCCCACACCAATGTTATCCTATAGCTGATAATATGTGCTGATAACCAGCTGATCACCTGGAACTGTTTTCCAACACGCTGAAAAATACAAAAAAGGCCTGAACGCCTCTCTGATCTAAGCACTCCCATAATATTTACTTCATCGCTATGCAGCAAATGGGTATTCCTGATGTTAAAATAACTCTAGCCACTTGCGGTAAATTGTTGAGCTTACCATCATCAAATAAAGGTTCAAGTATTACTAGCTACAGTCTTCAGCAGACAACAAATTACACCTGTTAAAATAATTTAAGCTGACGATTCAGGTATTGGAAACAGCAGAGTATCACTAGAACCTAATTTTCATGCCAAGCAAAGTTCCAACAAGAAGAAAATTTGTGTTAAACACAAACCATCTATGATTCTACATGAACATCTGTGTCCAGGGTGGCCAGAAACTATGAAAAACTTTTGAGTCTCTCTCTTCCCTCCCTATGTTATTATTCAGAAGAAGTAACGTTTACCTCTACAAAGGGAAAGCAATTGCTTGTATCCCACTCCTGCTTTCAGCCTCGCTTCTGGAAAACTAGACTGGGCAAATAGCTCACATTAACAAACCCTAGCACTGTGACAAGGAACAGAGTTTATGCATCAAGGCTGCCTATACAGAGGGTAGCAGAAACCAGTTCACCTTTCGGGGAATTAAAGCATTGTTAGGGGTAGAGCAGAAGCATCCAACTTTGGCGAAAATGAAAGTATAAAATAATATCACTGCCATCCCTCTTCTCACCATTCTGTCCAACTCATCGAGCCAGCTCCACGGCCACGGCGCCCTCGTTAATACAGGCAAGAGCCCAGGCAATGTCATTCTGTACGATGCTAACGATCAAAACAACAGTCCTGCAGGTTCAGGTATGCAGCCGCGGCCATGGAAGGGTGACAAGCAGACAAATGGCACATTACGAGGACACGCTTCCTGGCCAAAACCTTAATTCTGTGAACTGAGTAATATATTCGCAGACCTACGCTTTGTCTGTTCAATCGTGCCAATAAAGCGTGTCTGAACAGCCAAGTGCTGCTGACAAATTGCTCAAAAGTAATCCCCAATTACCATCCACAGTATTTGACAGACCATCCTACATTTAAAATGATGTCAAGCAAGCAATTTTACAGGTAAAAAACACAGAAATTAACTGAATTTTAGGCATAAATCAACTGCCCTGAGTCACTAACTACCCTGATTTGATAACGCTCTGAAATATTTGAACTTGCCAACTCTTCTTTACGAAATGGTTGAATTTTAGAAATTCAACTGTAATCTGATCAACTTGGTCTCCGAAAACATAAGAGCCATCAGAAGGAAACCTCTCGGTCCAACTTGACTAACACTAGCCAGATTCAATGAGAAGAATCAGAGAAGATTGCTGTCAGATGTAACGTCCAATTCCACACTTGCACTCTGGAACATAGAAAAAGCATAAAAATAATCCTACTGAAAAAAAAAGCCAAAACAAAACCCTTACTAAATTTAGGCACAAATTAAGGCTTAGACAACATGCCTTAAGCTTGGATTTATGAAGGAAAGAATGCGTGCCTTAACTTTACTTGCAACCTGGGGAGAAAAAAAGAAAAGAAAAAAATATTTGAAGCAAACGTAGTCAAATTTAAGAAGTCTCCCCCAAGTCTTCAGGTTTTCCAGCGTGGGGGGAACGGTGCAGCAGGCAGGGCAGCGCGGAGGAAAGGGACTTGGCTCCGTGCTGGGTGTCGGAGCCGAAGGAGCGCTGCCTGCACTTGTCCACTGGCTATTTTTGTGCCTGCGTGTGTAGCTCTGCTTGACTAGAGGCTGTGAAATCCGAGAGCTCCTGGATGGCTTCAGTTCTCCTCCAACAGTCCAGCGTGTTCCCATCTTCGCTGTACCCACTGTCGGTCCCAGCCCGGAGCCTGTGGACGTGGAGCCAGTCGCTCTCAAGGAGCACAGCCTTCAGAAGGCAAGAATTTCTCTCTTGGCTGGGGGGATATGCCAGAACTCCGTGAAACACATTTATATTCAAATCCCATCGTTTCAAATCCATAGCAGGATCTCCTCAGCTCGGCTGTATGGCACTGGTTGGCTACACTCCTGCACAAAGCCTTCATCTCTTTTAAAGCTTCAGTTATGAACAGATTGAGTTGTTCATTTGGGGGCTGAAATTTTCCTCATAGGTTATATTTTTGTTACCCGAAACCAGTAAGACACTTCATATTTTCTTACCCTCAAATCTAAGTATTTTCCCCATAATAAATGCCACAGTGACCATTAACTAGTATTTCTCAAGGAAAAAAAGCTAAATGATGATATTTTATAGCAGTGTAGTGCCATGTCTGTAACATATGAAATATGTCCATTCTCCCTACAAGTTCTTACAGTATACAACAGTAAAGAAAACAGTAATTTGCAATTATTAATGTATTATCCCATTTCAGATTTAATTCATTTCCTTATTTACCGAATTATCTTCAACTGAACTCTACTGCTAAGACTAAGTCTGTAAGATCCTACCATACAATATGGGAAAGGTAATATTAAAAAAATCCCTTGCTAAAAATAAACTTATTATGCTAGCAGTAAAAGATCAAAAGCATCTATGTAATTAAAAATTATTAAATTGAGAGTACGTATGAAACAAAGTCCGCATTGTGCTTTTAATTAAAAATATTACCCTGTAAATTAAAACTGAAGGCTTAAAAATAGTAATCAAGGTCAAGAGAATTATTGGACAAAAGTATCTTTGTACAACTTTGAAATGTCTGAGTAATTTTATGATTAAACCCAGGAAATTCTATTGGAAAGAAATGAAAAAAAGGCAAAAGGAACCTAGACCAAAAAGTTGCTAAGTGGATGCATTATTTTTGAAAGAGAATAAAAAGGCTCAATTTCAAATTAAGTGCTCTCACCGGCATACTGCCATGGGGCAGGCCAACAGCTGTCCCTAAGAAATCACTCTCAATAGGGGCAAAGGTAGGGAAGGCCTTAGCAACAACTTCAGCAACTTTGTGATTGTTCCCCTACAAAAAGCTGCTTCCTCACAACAGCAGAGCAGGAGGAAGGAAAAAAACCACACAAGAACATTTTCTCCTTGCCCTAATCTTTCCTTATTTTTTTTTTTTTAAAAAAAATCAACAGCAAATTCTTTTTGTCTCCTAAACCCAGTGTTGGAGCTCAGTACAAGTTATTTAGAGGGGTTTAGAAGCAAGGTATGTGACATTGTCACCGTAAGAAC